AATTCGACTGATACACGTGTAAATATATTAATTTCAATTTGACTGATATACATGCAAATATGGTAATTTCAATTCGACTGATACACAAACAAATACACTAATTTCAATGCGACTGATACACGGGCAAATACGCTAATTTCAATTCGACTGATACACGGGAAAATACGGAAATTCTAATTCGACTGATACACGGGCAAATACGGTAATTCTAATTCGAATGGTATACGGGCAAATACAATGATTTCAATTCGACTGATACATGTGGAAATATATTAATTTCAATTCGACTGATACACGAGCAAATACGATAATTTCATTTCGACTGATACACTGGCAAATACGGTAGTTTCGATTCGACTGATACACAGGAAAATACGGTAATTCCAATTCGACTGATAGACGGGCAACTTAGAAGCAACTGACCTGGCGATGTGAAAGGGAACATTTAGCAACAGAACGCTTTGCTTGATAACACTTGATCTTTTGTAATCAACCATTTAATCTCCGTTTTCTCTCCTCTTTCCTCTTCGCTTTGTACACCATCAAAATTATCGACAAGAACGTGATGCATTAATGGACCTCTGTTTGAATGCGCATGCGCTAAATCGTGACAGGAAAACAAACAAAATCCGAAATTTAAAAAATAACTCGACGCATCGAGAGGAGAAATCACTTATTGCTCTTTGTGAAACCTGAGCAGCTTTCAATTTCAAGAATTTTGGAAAATAAATCACAGAAAAGCCCGTATTTAAACTGCGCAGAACCAGACGATTTTAGTCTAAAATTTCAAAATTTGTTTTTGTCAGGATTTGATATAAGCAGTCGTAAAGGTTTTTTTAGAGGGTGGATTTAAAACAGCTCGTATGTCAGCTTGGAAAGTGAGAGCATTCTTTTTTTGCTGCAGCAAAGTTTCGTGTTTGGGTGTGGAATATATTTGTCGCATGACAACGGATATCATTAGGTCTATGCAAAAGTTCCCAAAGCTACTTTCTGCATATGATAGCGAAATCTTAGAAATGTAATCGGTCAACGGCAGGAAATAGTTCACAAGTTTCAGGAAAATATTCAGAAGAAAAATGAGTTCCACACAAATTACAGAAACAAACAATATGCCATGTTAAAACACTTTTCAGCAACCACTCGACACTTAAACACATTAACAGAGTCAACACACACACACACACACACACACACACACACACACACACACACACACACACACACATGCATACACATACATGCATACATACATACATATATATATATATATATATATATATATGAAAACATATGCTTATAAGGTACGTTATATTAATGGGCTAAAGTACTTGATATCAGGTAAACAGTATATGTAAATATAAAAGTGTACATTAAAAGGTCAACATACAGCAGCTACCTAAAACTACTTACTTATATATATATATATATATATATATATATATATATATATATATATATATATATATATATATGTATATATATATATGATAAAGATATTTTAAGATATATCATATTTATTATTAAAAGTGCTCATTAACAAGGCTAAAGCGCATTTAACACTCAACAACGACAGACTGTTTCAGACTTCAACACAATCTTCAGGCCATCTCCTCGCCTGGTTGACCTGAAGATTGTGTTTAAGCATAAAACGGACGGTTGCTTTTGAGTGTTGACCTAATTTCCACTTATATATATATATATATATATATATATATATATATAAATACATACACATATACCTAGGTTTGTAGTGCAACGTAAAATTTCATTGTTTCTCAAGTCGTCAGACATATATGGGAATTGAGGTGCTTATATTGCTCTAATATCTCGTTATTTAGTTTATATTCACACTTATATATATATATATATATATATATATTTTAAAAAAAGTTAGAAAGTACTCAATATCAATGATAGACAAATAACAAATTCAGTTTGTCTGATGATCGCAAAAGCGTGAAACCCAGAGTTAAAACTATATCCCTACAACGGAATATATATATATATATATATATATATATATATATATATATATATATATATTTTATAAACGTGGAAGATGTGTCACAAGGTCGAAAGTAAGGGCATCCAGTGAGGACCAAACTCACTACTCAGTCGTAACTGATCTAGCAGGACAAACTTTCTAACCATTACACCACGTCCAGGTGACCGTATATATACACCCCTAGTCAAAATCTTAAGACCAGATTCAAAAGGATCAAAAAAATATAAAATACTGTTACTTTAACCAAAATATATTTGCGAAACATTTACATTTAATTAGAAAATGTAGTTTATCAACAAACAAGTGAACGTTTTAAGCTTTTTTCAATGTTTGTTTAAATGAATCAATTAAGATTCATTTAAACAAACATTGAAAAAAGGATTCTTTTTGTTCGGCATAAAGATAAGACTATTTAAATAAAAATGGCAAATACAGAATAATTAAGTCACAACGACAATTTAATTCTCAATATATCCTCCATTTTTGCGAATTACTTCGAAAATTCGCTTTGGCATATTCATTATTAACATCTGCATGGGGGTGCTTGGGATACTCGCTCAGGATGCATAAACTGCAGCACGAAGAGCATCCACAGTTTCAAATTGCGATCCATGTTCATAAACATCCTTTGCCATCCATCCTCAAACATTCTCGATTGGGTTTCCATCTGGAGAGTGTTGTGGATTGCCGCATTGTTTTCTCCACATAGATGAGGGCCTTCAGTAATTAGCGATGCCTTTCTTAACATGTCAATGTAACTAGCAGCTGTTTGATGACCTTTTACCTTCTGTATCTCAAGAGTTCCATTGTACGAAAATGAACCCCAGACCATAATTGAACCACCTCCAATGTGTCGTGTTGAGAAAATTTCTTTTGGGACATCTTTTGTATGGCAGTAATGCTGAAAACCGTCTGGGCCATCAAGATTGAATTTTTTTCTCGTCTGTGTTCGCTTTTAGCAGATTTGATGTTAGGCTTGAATCTCTCTTAACTTTTCGCCTAATGCGTCTGTCTAGAGATGGTGAGATTTTATTGGGTCGACTGCTTCATTTTTTTTTTGAAGCATCCGCATCCGGATTTTTAATGATGTCAGAAATGACAGTTCTGCTACGGCCAATTTCATTTGCAATGGATCGTTGCAAAAGACCACGTCTTTGAAGTTCAACAATCCTGCCCTCATCAAACTTTGTTAAAATTTTACCCTTAGCCATTTTAAAATCTGAAATTTAATACTGGAAATGATCTACATAAATGTCTACACGCCTGAAGCTATGAGCACACTGACTAGTTCTAAAATTTTTATCCAGTAATTTGTTTTTTTTTTTCACACATGGTCTGATCTTTATGACCAAACAAAAAAATCCTTTTTTCAATGTTTGTTTAAATGAATGAATTAAAAGCTTAAAATTTTCACTTGTTTGTTGATAAACTATATTTTCTAATTAAATGTAAATATTTCGCAAATATATTTTGATTAAAGTAACAGTATTTTATATTATTTTTAACCCTTTTGTATCTGGTTTTAAGATTTTAACCAGCGGTGTATGTATGTGTATATATACATCCTCGTTGAAAACACAACTATACTTAAACATGAAAAAAATAAACAAAAACTAAAAATTCTTGAAGCTATATACATAAAACAGTTGAAACCTAACCTAAACAAAATAAACTATGAAATCTCCACATTATACTTAAATGCCTATAATTGGTAACAGAAGCCATTGGTTTATACCAACGGCTTCCCATACTTAAAACTTCTCGTTTTCACTCTCGCGTGGTCATGTATGACGTCATGAGCTGCGGTGCGATTTTCAGTTTCAGCGTCTCGTATGCATGAGTTTGTCGTTGCTTGGAAATCTTCCATGTAAACAGAAACAGACTATCATTAATGTCTTGTCCGTGTATTGCTTAATATATTGTAATGTAATTGTCATCTTTGATAATGGCTTATGTAAGCCGAATGCTTAGATAGGATTAAAAAGTACGTATCAATATTGTGATTTTCTTTCTTGTTTTAATGTTAATGTTATTTATAAATTTATACATAGATTGAATAGACAACACTTGTCTATATTATTTAATGAAACATGCATCAATATATATATATATATATATATATATATATATATATATATATATATATATATATATATTTTCAAAAATATTAAGATCAGATACAAAAAAAAGTTAAAAAGAATATAAAATACTGTTACTTTAATCAAAATGTTCACTTGTTTGTTGATAAACTATATTTTATAATTAAATGTAAATATTTCGCAAATATATTTTGATTAAAATAACAGTATTTTATATTTTTTAAGCCTTTTGAATCTGGTCTTAAGATTTTGACTGTATATATATATATATATATATATATATATATATATATATAATTGAATTTTTCTGAAAAGGTCTACTCACTGGCACACCACAAGAATTGACAGAAGCATGACTAGGCAAGTGAGCAATGAGCAAACCGCTCCCAAATCCCTCCTTTATCTATTCATCTTCTGTCACCCTTATCATATTATCAACGTTGGTAGGAACATATCACTAAGCGACTCTTAATACTGGTGCATTAAATCTTACACGCATCTAACGGCTATTCCCATTCAGTTCAGTTCGCATAGGGGCAGACGTTCATCACTCGGCATTTTTAGTGTAATCATGCGTGCGTTTGGCATACACATATATGCTCTCTCTTTGATGACACGTACATTCCAGTCTGGTTCTCTAACTCTTCTAATCAAAACCGACACTTCCGGAGGTAACACTTCAGCCAAATTGTCACATCCGGTAACAACCTACTCCCGACGGCTAGATTCGTGTCTGCAGCTAGCAACAAAGGGGGGGGATTAGCAAAGGTGGGGCGCGGAATTACAAATAAATGAAATGGAGGATCCTTGAATGCGCAATAGCCGATTATCATTCCTTGATCCCTAAACAAGATTCAACACGATTTCATTTGTCGGGACTAGTTACTGTTTCCCTTATGGGTCTTGTTAACGGATCTGATCACATCTATCTATCTATCTATCTATCTATCTATCTATCTATCTATCTATCTATCTCAGGTAGTTCATATCTATCTATCTGTCTCAGTCTGTTTATATCTATCTATCTATCTATCTATCTATCTATCTATCTATCTATCTCAGGTAGTTCATATCTATCTATCTATTCATTATCTATCTATCTATCTATCTATCTATCTATCTATCTGTTCATATCTCTCTATCTATCTATCTATCTATCTATCTATCTATCTATCTATCTATCTCAGTCTGTTTATATCTATCTATCTATCTATCTATCTATCTATCTATCTATCTATCTCCATGAGTTTGCTGAAGGAAAAAAGCATACCACGATGAAAAAAAGCCTCAAACTTAATAAAAACAACATTCTATCGTCAAAATGTTTATATTACTATTAAGAGGAACTACCAAAATACTTTTCGCTTATTTAATTAAATCTTTGAATCTTTTTTTATAACGTTCGACATTTTGGTTAAAGAATCTTGTTTTTCTCGCGTCACCGGGTGGAAAATAAATTCGCATAGAAAATGTTAACGTCATTTTGTGGGGAAAAACACATTGATTTGGACATTCTTGTAAAAATGAAATAACTGTCATATTTTAATGAAACTTTCAGAACATGCACAAATGAATGAAATTATATTAAAAAATGTTTTTTCTTAATGTAAATTCTTAGTAAAAATAATTTTTTTTTAATCTGTTACCCTGTTAATATTTAATTTTATGATAATTCTAGAAATTCAATGAGGTAACTTTTAAGGTTTATATTAGTTAATAGCAGAAGTCCTTGGAGAATTTAAATCATCAATTCTTTTATGTAAAACAGAACCCCAAATTACGGAAAATCTGCTCTTAATCACAAAAGAAAAAGATTCAATAAAAATAAGACATTATTTAATTCGAAAAGCTTTTAATTGTTTGTATGACTAAGATATATTATGGACATTATTTTCTTTTCGATGAATAATGAATTTTTACAGAAATTATATTAATTTTAAAAAAATTTAATTAGAATAATTTATAAAGTTTTTAATCTCTTAAAATTCTTTAAAATTTTCATTTATTGGTGTAACGTTTAGGAGATATTGTTATTGAGTAACACTATATTTACTGATCATAAATCGAAAAGCTTATTACAATTTAAGATAGACAAATATGAATATTGATAGATGGATAAAAAGAAAAGAACTGACTGAGATAAATAGATATATATGAACAGATTGATATATATATATATATATATATATATATATATATATATATATATATATATAATATATTTCAAACTTCAAAAAAGAAAAGACTAAAACATCCATACTGCTTGAAAATAATCAATCAGCAATTCGCAATGTCTAATCCAAAAGAAAAAAATAAAAAAAATGACACGTAAAAATTGCTCAATACAGTAGGTAGAGCAAAATTATCAACCTTTCCATCAAAACCTATCTACCTGGGTTTCAAAAACTAATTTCATTAGGATCCTGATGATCCACTTTTGTGAAACCTAGGTAGATAGGTTCTGGGTCTTTAAAACTCCAATATATATATATATATATATATATATATATGTAAAAGTGATAAAAAATTATTAGGAGGATTTGGGATAATCATAATTAAAGAATTCATCGAGTCTAGAAGAAACTTCGACAGAATGCAACTGGACGGCACCCCCGAGAATTGAAACCCAGACAGTTACGGCAAACGTCATACCAACTGTACCAACGGAACTCGGTGTCGAAGAATTGACTCTCTCTCTCTCTCTCTCTCTCTCTCTCTATATATATATATATATATATATATATATATATATTAACTATTTATCTATCTATCAATAGTCATATCTATTGATATGAATATGTTCATATCTATTGATCACAGTCAGTTCTCTCGAAGTGTGTTTTAGTCAGTTCGATCACAGTCAGTTCTCTTTTCGTTTCTCTTTTCCCTTATCGGAGTTGGTATTCAATGCGTATTCTATGGTTGCTCGTCTAACGTCTATGTATGTTATTCTTCGATTTGGTATTGATGACAAAAGCATTACCATAATATTTATTGATTCTGAAGCTGTTAACTTGTGCTTTGAAATTACGATATTAATTCCAAATCCTTCTTTGATTTTAGTTTCTTGAAGACAGTATTTTTTAAATCATTTCACCCCAAGTAAGGCAGGAATGCCACTAGTACGTAGAGGGTTACAGGGAATGGACGTGCGAGAGAAGACTGAGTATAGGGAGGATTGAGGAAAGGACAAAAGATGAATGGAATTCAAGAAGATAGATGATGCTGATTGATGTTGCATTTAAATTTTTGAAGATTATAAGCAGATCTATCTTCATATTGAAAAGAGTATTGAGCTGTTAGGTGATATCTGTCGTTCTTTACAGCAGCGAATGTTGGACGGTCTCCTCAAAGATGAAGAAGAGACTACAGAAGGATGCTGAGGATAACATAGACCGAGCGTGTGAGCAACGAGGAGGTCTGAGAGAGGATGCAAACAAGGAGGAGTCTTATACTTAACATCAGGAAGAGGCAGCTGAAGTTTCTGAGACACGTATTGAGAAAGGAGGGCTTGGAGAATCTGATACTCACAGGTCGAATTGAAGGAAAGAGAGACAAGGGAAAGCAACGCATGACATACCTAGCGGGATTGAGCAAGTGGATGACAGAACGTGATCTGTGGGAGGTGACAGAAAGACGAAACTCATTGAGAGCTACAAGGGATAGGGAGAAGTGGAGAGCCCTGGTCGCCTACGTCCTGAAGGGACACGGCACATAAAAAGAATGAAAGAAGTAGCATAATACAAGACCACACCTTTTGCCTGAGTCACTCAGGAAGGATTGAGGACAGTAAATATAATACAACGTTATACCAATCCTCCTTTTTGGCATATAATGGTGGGTTATATCTCTCATTTTTTTGAGTAAGAGATTTGAAGCAACACAATTGTGTTTTTTTAATCATTTCACCTCAAGCATGGCGGGAATGCGACTAGTACACAGGGGGTTACGGAGAACAAAAATGAGAGAAAAGACTGTGTATAGGGAGGATTGAGGAAAGGACAAAAGATGAATAGAATTCAAGAAAACGATAAATACCGATTGATGCTGCAATTTTAATCTTTTATCAGAGAATCAAGTAAACAGAAGGGAGTTCAACAAGCGGGATGTTCGAGAAAAGAAACTGTTCCAGTAGAACATATATATATATATATATATATATATATATATATATATATATATATATATATATAATTTTTGTCAAAAAAGATTGAGAAATTTCCATTTTCATAATATTTATTGATTTTGAAGCTGTTAACTTGTGCTGAGAAATTCCGATATTAATACCAAATCCTTCTTTGATTTTAGCTTCTTTTTAATCATTTCACTCCAATGAAGACAGGAATGCCACTAGTACGTAGGGGTTTACAGGGAGTGAAAGTGAGAGAAAAGACTGAGTATAGGGAGGATTGAGGAAAGGACAAAAGATGAAGTAGATTCAAGAAGACAGAAGATGGCGATAGACGTTGCATTTAAATTTTTATCAGAGAATCAAGTAAACGGAAGGAAGTTCAACAGGCGGGATGTGCGAGAAAAGAAACTGTTGAAGGAGAAGTGACCGTTGCATTTAGCTATTCTAACAGTAAAATGGTGCGACCTACATGCCAAGCGCAATACTAGATTGGCGGCTAGGTCTCATCGTTTTACAGTTGAAATCGCGAGATGTAACCATAAGTTCTATGCTAACAGTTTCTTCTATCGCACTTCTCGCTTGTGGAACTCCCAACAATAATCCGCGTCTTAGTAGCTTTATTGCCTTTTTTGGATTGTAGTTACCAGTGAAGCAAGTAAAGGGAAGGGAGTTTCACTGATGGGACATGAAAGAAAAGAAACTGTTGGAGTAGAATATATATATATATATATATATATGTGTGTGTGTGTGTGTGTGTGTAATTTTTGTCAAAAAAGAATCACAAGTTACCATTTCCATAATATTTATTGGTTCCGAAGCTGTTAACTTGTGCTGTGAAATTCCGATATTAATACGAAATCATTCGTTGATTTTAGTTTTTTGGGGACAACAAACATCCTTGTTACAAGTATCACCGCCTGACACCAATGATTCCTCCTTTTCTTTTTTCACAAGTCCGGAGAATAAAATATTACAGTCATTTATAAAGCTTTCAATAAGAATTTTCGACGCGGAATTGTTGACAACCGGAGATGCCATTACCTTCTCCTCCAAAAGTGTAATGTTATTTTTTTTTTTAAAGTATCACATCTTTACGTAATCTTTCCTGTTTTCTTATCGTTTTTTTTTGTTATTTATTATTACTATTATCATTTGTGTATGTTATGTTTCCTGCTTTGTATTCTGTAGAGCCAGGTCCAAACGATGTCCCTAACAATGGCCCAAACGATGGCCTTGTCATTTAATTAATAGCACTTTTCTTAGTATTTGGGATGTTCCTAATAGGGCGATCTTCTGAGCAACCTGTATGTTGATGTTATTTGAGACACTGTTACTAAAATTGTCCATTCCTTTTCTGACGAGGCCCACAGCTCCGATTACTATTGGTACAGTCTCAGTCTTCACTCCCCACATCCTGTTAATCACTCTCCAGGTCCTTGCATTTGGACAATTTCGCGATAATTTTCTTGGAGGTGTTTCTCGCAGATGGTACAGCTATGTAAATAAGCAGACACTTCCTGAATTTCTTGTCTTTTATGGTAATATCTTCCAGTGCACATGTATCGCTAACTTGTTTATGACTGTGGGTATATTCATTTTTTATCAGTTCCCGACGTCCTGAGATAATACGATATTATAACATGGTCGACAGTTTCATTATTATTATTATTATTTTTATTTTCTTTGATTTCTGGCGTTTACACATTTCTTTCCGGATCCCGCCCAGGGACCTAAGGTTAGAAATGGCGTCATGACACTTTCCACTGACAAAAAAAAAAAAAAAAAAAAAAATTAAATAAAATTAAATAAATTAAATTACATAGATAAAGCCCTTCGTAAGGTGTGGGCTGTACTTGTCAGAACAATTTTTTGTATCTCCTTGAGGCATGGGCTTCCAGGAATCCCTTCAATTAGTCTACAGCAATCTTTTCCAACCAGTCCTAGGGCTCCATCTACAACAGGGATTGCTGATGTTCCCATATGCCACATTTTCGAGATTTCTATTTCAAGGTCCTTGTACTGTGACAACTTTTTGAATATCTTCAAAGATACATTGCAGTCAGCAAGGACTGCCATATCAATAAGGAGGCACCGTTTTTGTTTGTGGTCTTTAA